CTGAGCATCTTACATTAGATGGATATGTGCGCTATATAAAACTACACTATTATTATTATTATTATTATTATTATTATTATTATTATTATTATTATTATTATTATTATTATTATTATTATTGTACAACAGGAACTGTATGCCTACGAACATTTCATTGATTTGTTAAAGTATAGCTTTAACGTTTTCTAAAATAAGTTCGTTTTCGCCTTCATTGTGTGTTTGATTGTTTTGTTTTTTGTTTTTTTTTATTGTTTTGTCTTTTATGCCTAATATACTACAGTAATAACAACAGTAATAACAATGTTAAAAATACTAATTTCATCTTTTGTTCAAACAATTGACACAAAAGTTAAAGAGAAAACAATGCCAAATCAAAACATTGAATATCTCTTTAAAGCGCCAAGTAAATCACTGATATCAAGTTTGGTTTAAAGCTTCAGTATAAAATTGGTTATATACCGTACTTTAGGTGAAACCGTAAAAATGTACAGTAGGCTTGAGGGACGATTCAATGGAGAGAAAAAGGGATAGAAGAAGTAAGGGATTATTGCATGATTTGGTAATTGGGCGCCTGCTATAATGAAAAGAAAGCCATCGAATCGAGGAAACATAAACAGTGGCGTATCTAGGGGTGCGCATGCCCCTCCAAAAAAAATACTCGCACCCCCAGGTCCCCCCTAAAAAAATATCACGCTAAAGTAGTTAAAAATCACCTAAAATTACCTTATTTTGCGAGTTAGCGACCCTCACATAATCATCGTTCCCCCTACATGACCTTCGCGCTCCAACACCAGCCCTTCCCCCGCCACCATTTTAAGAATAGATACGCCACTGAACATCAACAGCTCTAAAGCTATGTCCAGACTTACTATCAATTTTTATCAGACAAAAAACTGCTGTATGCGTATATATAGTCATGATGTGCCTATATATGGTCATGATGTGATGTCATCATGACCATATTTAGGCATGTCACACGTTTTTGACAAATCAAATTTGATAGTCTTTAGCACTTTTCCTTGTCTTGAGATAATAACGATTCGTTTAAAATACGGTGCACATTTTAATAGTTTTATTTGATTTATTTCAGTATTCATAAAATCACATGGCCATGCCTACAGAAGTAAGTCTATAACTGTCACTAATATTAAAGATGACAGTTATCAAAAATATTCTTTAAAAATATAAAACATGAGACAAGTATAAGCAACACATTCATTCGGGACAGACCTACATTATTTAGTGAGAATAAAATGCACGATATTATTTTTAAATAATTACTGACATGGTTAGTATAACATTGATGGGTACTGATTTACAGCGACAATTAAACATCAATAAAATTATTAAAATGGAAACAAATATATACAATGGAACAATTAAAGTTAACAAACCCATGAAAGTATTGATATTCGGTGACTTCATGGTTGTGTTGGTATTATGTAATGGAATGAATTTTTTAAAGGATTTTTTAGTATTTAAAAATGTTTCAAATATGAAAAAGAATAATTTCATATTTTAAACATGTTTAAAATATGAACAAGGACTAAGACATACAGTATATACCTTTTCGTTCAAAATTTAGCTAAGAATTCACATAAGAACTGAAAAAAAATTGTAAAATCTCTTGAATTAATTAAAACGCAATCTAAAATTTAACCATGTCTAAATACATTGTTATACCCAATGCAAAAATGGGTATAACCTTGACTTAGAGTCGTATCCCATTTTATAAAAAAGAAGTACCCAATAAGCCAAACCTAGCTATATGAAACTTAAAAAGAAATCGATCAGCCATTTTTTCCGAAAAATTACTACCGTATGCTACATAATAATTACGATCAAAAATATACACAATTCACCACAAGAACCCCTAGCAAGAAAACATAGTTAAAAAACAATAAGTTAGAAAATTTTTGACAATTAAGAAATATTACGATAACAATTGATTTGTATTATATGGCTATACTGATATTTATTATTAGGCCTATTAATAGCTTTTCTTTAAATTTGATCTCATACCCATAACAGTTTAGAAAACATCGAAAATATAATAGGCCTAGCATTCTTTATGATAATATAAAAATATTACGATATTATTTACTTTATACACTCATGTTTAAAATTAATAATATGTTTTTGTAACCTAGGGGCCGATTGTCATATCATTAACATTCTCAGCATTCAAATATAAATTGTATTAAAGAACAAATAATATAATATGATAAGCACAATCATAATTTCATTTAATTTCCTTTATTCTTGTCATAAAATATAGCTTAACAAAGTCAACGACACGAAAACAATGGGACAGCATTCACAAAAGTGAACTGAATCAATCTATAGAAAGGGTCTCCTAACATTAAAATAACATTTAAAGGGCAAAAAAATTCAAACACAATGAAGACGAAAACGAACTTTTTCTAGAAAACTTCAAAGCTACCGTATACGGTAACAACTCAATGTTCCTGTTGTTCAAGATTCAAGATCAAATTTATTGCCATAGGCCTATATAAAAGTATACATGTAATTTGTTCTCCTGAGCTTACAAGAAATTCCATATACATCACAATAAATATAAATATGAATATAAATACACACAGAATACAATAAAATAAAACTAAGTAAACTGTTGTTGTTAACTGTATATAAAATACAGCGACGGACTAACGAGGTTTGCTCAGCTGAAATGACCAATGTGATTGGTTGGAATTACGGTAATACACCGTATAGGCGTTCACTATAATTTATTTACATGCCGTTTAATATTTTGTTACCGATTAAAAAAATATTAATAATGTTTAAACATCAATAACATTTTCTTCCCTTGACGTAAAAGTTTTTAGATAATAAGGATAAGTAGGCCTTCCACACAATGTTCTTTTTGTTATCATTGAGATTCCATCACTTACACAATTTATTTATTTATACTGTGTATATAGGCTGTATAATTATAGGTGTGTATACGTTTCTATTTCTATTTGTCTATGGAAACATCCAGAAAATAACAATGGATAATGAAAAAAAAATTGACCTCTGCCGATACTCGAACCTGGGAGTTTTTGCACACAGCAAATGTCATAATGTCACAGTGAACAAGTGTAGGTGAGGTTATAAGCTCCTGAACGATTTTCTATTGATATCGGCCTATATAATATGAGCTTCTATAAGTGTTTCATAATACCGCAATTGTTTTCATTACGAAAAACTCAAGTACGTATGTCTATTGTTTATAGACGCTAACTGTTGAAATGTTGAAATCTATAATTTTATAAACTTAAAAATTTAACGAAACAAATGAATAAAACCATTTTGATTATTACAAACGGTATTGACACTGTCACTCATAATAACGTGTCAACTGAGTAAAAGCTGAAAAATCAACTGCTAAACTAGCAAATCGGTAATAACAGAAGCCCAGTCGATACACTCGTAATATACAAGCGAAATCCGATCGTCCGTAGCCTTCTTCAGACTGTCATCAACGCCGAGAGAAATCGATGAAATCTCGAGCTCCCGGCAAACAGTATTCTTCAAACGATATTCGCTAGGCGGGATTACATCGGATAAGTATCAGAGCCTGATATCTCATTTACCTCATCAATATCACACTGTATTATTAGGTGTTTGTGGCCGTAAATATGAAAGAATCGACCTTAGCTCCCTGGTCGTATAGACACATGATCTCCCTTTGTGATTTTTACTAGACAACGAGATTCGAAATTGATTCGATACATCCTTTAGGCACGAATGTGCCGCACATATAGCGTATTGTATTTTTAATTGATTTCATATAAAACACATGAAATAAGGTATATTCTTTTGAATAGAATTTAAAAAGCGATACATAGAGCGTTAACATTATCACTATTATCAAAACATGTGGCTAACAATGAAAACATGTTCACCGGAATTTGGTGTATTCTGTTACATATAATAGCCTATATTATATATCTTTTGTGTAATTTTAACGTGTTGCCTCAATGTTGTGTGGAACTTAATTTGGTATTTACGATTTCATATCTTTTTCATTAACGTCATAGGCCTAATATTTTTCTTTGGGATATGGCATTAGACGTTGGTGTGAGTAAGTGCCAATTCCGGAGTATCGAGACGCGTTGAACTGTACTTTTAGATGAATCAACCTAAAAGAAACCTGCCTGTTATAGGCCTATTGCTCAATATCGTAGGTATAATCTAGCATATGTTTTAGTCAATGAAGACCTCATTTTAATTAATTCCTTGATATTTTGGTTTATGCATATTTTAATGTGATACAAATTTTAATAATTGTAGAGTTCAACAATGTTAACTTGGCGGAGCATTTCCTGAGCTACAGTGCATGAATATGTCTTTAACATAGTTGCAAATTACAATTATTTTTATAAAACATATTGTTGTAAAATGTTTAAAAGCTAATGAGTTTTTCACTCGATTAAATTGTGATTAAGAATTGCTATGATGAATTCACGTCGCAATATATGTACGGTATATCATGTTTATTCATTGGTATTTCTAAGTATACGTAGATGTAGTATTATTACAACTTTAGATGATTTTGAAATTTGCATTTTGAAAATATGGTACTTCAAGCTAACCTATCATTGATTAATCTAAAATCATTTTAAATGTGCGATTTTATTCAACATTAGCATATTCATAAAGGTAAAATTTTCCGGGCCATGTATCAACGCCGAGAAATGAAATCCTAAGTCAATTTGACCTAAAATATATTGTAATTTACTGATGAAGATATCATGTTAGTCTATTAAATAGCAGAAGGCTTGAGAATAGTTAAATCGTATATAGGCCTAGAGCAATAAATTACATATTACATGATCAGATTATAACGAGTGTAAAGTACGTATATAGATTTAATTAAAAGAATCAATCCATTGTAAGTATAAAAGCCTTCATTATGGCTTCAAGTTGAAGATTAGATTTTAAATAAATTAGCTCCCAAAACCAACATGGACACGGTTGTCAACATGCATAATACAAGTCAACATACAATCTTAGAAAATTCCTTGGTTATCACTTCGCATCAACAAATCATCCACTCTCCGCATTACGAGCGATAGGAAAAGCAACAAGGCCTGAACGCAAGGAGTTATTTGTCCAGGTAAATTAATAACAGATTCCGATATTTTAAAGCCTAATAAAACGACCGGCTAAGAAATATGGAGAGTAAAACTTGGTGTGGACTGGATGTTAGACCACCATACCTGACCCATGAATCTTCTTAGGAATTTTATAGTAATTCATGGTGTTTGTAGTGCAAACGTTGGTTTTTTTTACGATAATATTTCAAAAAGAGTGTAGTTATAACTTCCCATTTCTTTAAAAAATGTTAATCTAATTAACGTTTTAAGAGGAGACTTTGATTGATTATTCCAGGCGGATTCATGCACGTATCGTTGACATTAATAGCTTTTTAGTAACTAATTAGAATTAACCCAGAAAAACGTGTCATTGCCCTCACTATTCACATAGGCCTACACGTTGCTAGCGTTCCTAAGCCTTTGCTAAATGGGCCTTGGTGCATGCGTTTGGCGGGTCTCCGGCTTGTTGGGAAGGTGCATTGAAAACCTAGCCCTTAAGTACACACAAGTACAAATCAAGTACATACAAGTACAATTATGAGCAAGCTCTTATTATTATTTTTTTTCTTTTCGCTGCAAACTTTTTTGCAGATAAACTTCCTAATTTTTTTAAACATTATAATAAACGTTGCTAGCGTTCCTAAGCCTTTGCTAAAGGGGCCTTGGTGCATGCGTTTGGCGGGTCTCCGGCTTGTTGGGAAGGTGCATTGAAAACCTAGCCCTTAAGTACACACAAGTACAAATCAAGTACATACAAGTACAATTATGAGCAAGCTCTTATTATTATTTTTTTTCTTTTCGCTGCAAACTTTTTTGCAGATAAACTTCCTAATTTTTTTAAACATTATAATAAACATTATTAATAGGAAATTATTTTATTATGTATAGCCTATAGGCCTATTCAATCATAACACGGTTTTATTGTGCTGACACTATTTTTTTATTTACTGCAAATAGTTCGTTTATAGGGCCTACACTTTGATGTTGTTTAACATAGGCATCAATATTCCCATATCATATCATTAAAATAGCGTCTGTATGCCAATTTTCTAAAAAAAGAATAATAAAATATGAAAATCTCTCTAAAAATAGGCTAAAATAATGTTAATTACTTACAAACTTACTAACTTATATGGTTCAGGCCTACTACAATATTTCTGATGTCGATTACACACATTAGCAAGTATAAAGTTCTATGCAAAGAATACGGACAGTATTGTGTATAATAGGGGAAAAGTGAGTCAATGAAATTAAGTGCATATTCAGAGCTTACCATATAGACCTATAAAAGTAATACTGAATTTCTTGTGAAGTTCAGGGGATCGCCAGACCTTATCGTTTCATAATTGTTCGATCCCGTAACCTTATTTTAAGTACAAGCTGAGTCTTGATACATGCTGCATTATTCTAAGCACTTTCAAACCATTTCTTAAACATTTTAAATTCGATTTTTAATCCAAATTTTATCCCCTTGCACTTTTACCCGTTTCTATTTTACTGGTATTTTAAATAATTTCGAATAATTTTAAATAACTAGGTTAAGATTGACTAATTTCAAATCTCTGTGTATTTGATTGAAATAGGCCTATCTTTTTAACTTTTTCTTTTGTATATGTGTGTCGTTTTTACTTCTGTGGTCTATAGGCCCTAGTTTTATAGTGAATGCACCGCATGACGTGTGCCACAGATTCAAAAGTGTAGTTTTTCAAATAAAGTTATTATATATTATGATCCAAACTAATATTTTGTCAGAACATTTTGACCTTCGCCATTGGCATCGTAGATAAAGGTCTCTCCGCACTATCAAAGTTTCTTTGAATAAAAACCTGCTGTATACCCATATATAGTCATGATGTGCCTATATATGGTCATTAGATGATGTCATCATAACCATATTTAGGCATGTCACATGTTTCGATAGTCTGGACAGGGCCTTAGTTTAATATTTTCACTCATTCATATTATTGAATAGTGATAGTTATACTCTATGAATGCAACATAGTGAATTTCTCTCTAAAACACTGTCTACAATAATCACTCTAATTTAATATTTCTTGAGTTAATATTCACTGTTAAAAGAGTGAGTGTTATACTTAAAATAGTGGACAGTTGTTGAAATTGATTCTGAATATTGTAAAATTTCACTCAATTTTCTCTATACTTTATATTCTATTGAAGTGATCACTGCAGGCACATTTTCAGTCTTTTTCACCCTTTTTTGTTTATCCCGTCTTAAGTTGGGTCTGTTGTAATTTTTGTTCGTACTGTTATATTTTGATTAAAAAAAAATGAAATGAAATTAGAGAATGAGCATAATTATATTTATATCATCAGATTTATTATGTTTTGTTGGCTCTAAAATCTTAAATTTTTGAATTGCTTGAGTTAAAATATTATAAAATATTAGACCAAAACAATTACCATGTATTTTTTTTAATAGTTTACTTTTAAATGATGTTTTTGATCAAGAATGAAATAAATAATAGACCTCAACCATTATTCCATATTATTATTCTTAATCTCATAAAACAAATACTAGGCCTAATATTAATTACTGAGCAGCAGCAACACTGTATTTTGTCCTTACCATTGAAAGTAGTTTGGAGTTTAATAACTCCTTAGAACACAACAGTGATTTACACACAGGCTGAACTTACCAAAGTTACAGTATGTATATTTATTGAATATATAAAAATAAAATAGAATCAAGAGCCTTTTTTTATTTTCTGTTAGAGAATTCATACTAGCTTCGGGTGAGTTTGGCGCTCTAGCCTATACATATTGGCCTTCTGGGCTTGGATTATGGATAAGCTAGGCCTGAGTTTAATTCAGTGTCATAGTTAGCTGCAGTTTAAAAGAACTACGGTAATCAAAATTTGAATATAAATATATAAATTATTCCTTTAAATCATAGATAACCATATATTTTGAGAAGCCAACAATATAACTTAGTTAAAATATCTCGTTAAAGAGTACCTTCTTGATGCATTTTTTAAAATACTTTCTTCGTATCAGGAAGTAGACCTACAACCTGGTAAGAAGAAATGATCTGATATCCTAGGCCCAGGCTTAAACAATATCATCCAATAAAATTTGTAAAATTAAAATCATAAATAGCTACAATATATCATGGATGACGTTATCGTCTGTTGTTAAAATGAGCCGAGCCAATGTAATTAATATCTGAGATCACGTGAGCAACTCGATTGCATTTAAAAGTGCATAAGGTGTTCCTCCGGTCTTCGGCTTCGGACAGAATATTAGGATTAGTATAATTATAGTAGGCCTACACACATATCTTATACTACTATACTTACTGTTCTGTCTTCGGCCTTATTATGCTCTCCTGTCGCCACGCCTAACCCAAACCGCATAATTGCTAATGATGAAGGCATGACGAGACACACGCTAAAACCCTTCAGAAACCACACATAGATGAGCAATTAATTTGTTGGCATCATCAGATAACGTTCAATATCGTAATCTGTTTAGTAATAAACATTTGTTGACTTTGCGCTTGTTATTTTTAGATAGCACTTTTGATAATGCGTCTGTATGTCAATAGAGAACCAGTTGTCGAGTGTAGGGCCGAACGCCAATCCGACTACCAGCCCTTCCTATTCGAAAGGGGACGAAAGAAGGAAGACCAAGATAACTCGTTTCAGACACGCCGTAATTGTCTTAATTATATTCAGATCTCCTCCGAAGGAACTCAGAACTAGTTGAAAGTGAAGTGTGATTTTTGAAAGAAGATTGTTTCTTATGAAGATCGATTAATGTTTATTACTATACCTCCCTGGGGATTCGCCAATCTTTCCTTTGGCTGAATACACTAAACACATACACCACATGGTCCCAGTTGGCTTTTTATTACATTAAACTCGGCTGTGGGGTGCCTTCAAGTTCGTATATAAAAATAATTTATATCTAACATTTTTGTTATAAATTTTCTGGAAAACTGATACACACAATGGTTAAAAAGTATTTGGAAGACTTTGTAAAGTTTTCTAATTTTTAAAAAATTCAATAGAGAAATATGAACTTACCAATCAGCTCAGATCTTAAGATTACGTCATAAAGGTCACGCTTGAACGAGTTTTTAAAGATAACCATGGAGGTATCAATTAAACCAAATTTTGTTAAAATACGAACATATATTAAAGCGTACCGTTGAACTTGGAATCATGAATAATGATAATATCTGTTCATTTTCATGGGTCAAATGGAACGGGAGACCAATTACGCTATGACCTCACTTTCTTCCTCCTTCACAAGTTTAAATCCGTGAAAATCTGATAGGCCTAGGTCATTTCAACGACCAGTCACTGTCTCAAATCAACTTCAATCGTACTTGATAGGACTTAGTGAAAGAATAAATTAGCCAATTTGTCACCTTTAAGTTGGATATCTATCGGCGTGTTACTGTTAGTGCTAGTTTCAGTCAGAAAACCTGTTACGTCAATCTTTGGATAGGTCTACTGACGTTAAATTAGCTTTCAAAGCTTTTTTCTAAATAACAAATCCGTACTAAAATTAAGATCGCAGGGGATTCAACATCGCGCTCTCTCTTTTTTTTTTTTTTTTCTGTATGCCTACATGGATATTTGTAATGGCGTCACTATGTAATGAATTAGATCGCGTAGGACACAATACGATACAGAAAGATAAAGCTATGTTTGTGTATAACTCTGGCCAGGAACGTCACTAGAGAAAATGGCATAGGACACGAATAAGAGCCCAACACATGAATTATAAAGATAGTATTTCACTTAAAAACTAAATAGAGAGCATTATTTTTATAATACATAAGTATTTTAAGTCGATGAATGTTGCAGGAATACAGCTGTCAGCCAAAAAACATTGCATACCATAGTCACATCATACAGCTGTCTGAATACTGGAAACTATATTAACACCTCGGCACTTATTGATTGTGAAAAATGGGTGCAAGTTTTCCCCCTTAGGAAACTCCACGTCCCCTGGGTGTTGAACGCCAATGAGGCCCTTTGGAAGTGTCTTCATTAATATCCGTTTCGACCATCAAGCCTGACAGATTGTGTAATCAATCTCGAACTTGCATTGGAGTATATCGTGCAGAGGCACAACAAACAACTGGGGTGAAAGGTCAAATATGTCCATATATGGAAAAAGTTTCCTGTGTGCATACTTGGTTCACACTTCCTGTATCAGACGATTTGATAACTTTTATAGGACAATTATTAGTCGTTAGACGGCTTCTGAACTTTCTAAAGGTAGTTTAAAATAATAATGTTTTTTTTTAACTTTGTGGATACTTCGTTAGTGGCTTATTCATCCAATAATTCATACCATTTATTTATGCTTATGTTTAATCCAACTTCAGACATTTTGAAATATAAATAATAATGTTTGTATTTTGTTTTACTTTAACTGAATAGTTTTCTTACAGGTACTGTAATATCGTTCGCAGCTCACACTCGCTCTTAACTGGGTCATTGATCGAAGTAAAACAAAATCCACCAATTTAATAGACGATAATTCGTGTCACTATCGATAATCAATGTTTTCTTTTTAATTATCATTAATTGATCTGAGTGTCAATAGATCAAATTTATCATTGAATTATCTGATTACCCATTTGTTGCTAGTAAGTAGGCCTATTCTATATCTTTCTCCGTTAATATCCTTGACCATTCTCTTAGCATCCGATGAGCAATATAATTAATTCGAACGGTGATTCGAATTATTGCACTCTTTGACGTAATTTGTCAGGTGGATTGAATACGTTTCTAAGGCAACCAGAATAATTACTCGCAGAAATTGACTCGCTGCCACATTTTGTATCATATAAAGCACATGCGCAGTTATTATTGTGACCTCATCAATTAGACTTAGTCCTATTGAAAGTATGCATCTTAACAATGAACAATTTATATAAGCAACATTAGGCCCAACAAAAAAAATGATTAGTTATCAACCCCTCCCGCATGTCTTCTATGATAGTGAAAAAAAAAAAAAAAAAAAAAAAAAAAAAAAAAAAAAAATAAAAAAAAAAAAACAATTTTTGGAAAAACAAAATTTAAAAACATTTTTTTAAATATTTTATTTAGTAAATATAGTATATCATGTATTTTACTCTGAATGTGAATTCACCAGCAAACAACCCAAGGGTGATAGTTGGCTTTAGTAGAACATAAAAATAAAAGGCCTCCCTCCCTCATCACTTTATAGCGTGATAGACTTATTTTTTTAAATGTTATTTTGCCTTATAAAATAATATACAATGCATCTTTAAAATGAGGGTCAATAAGCCAATTGGGACTTTAAAATACAAAACAAAAAAGAACAGGAAAAACAGATTTTTACAAACTTTTAATTATTATATCATATTGCAAACATAAACATGAAACTTCCACATAACGGTCTCATATGGTCCTGTTATGGACCCATCATTTCGCAAAAGTGGGGTATGGCAATATTATTTTAATAAGCAATTAGGTATTCGTCTCATCATCATCAAACAAACGCACGCCACTGTCACCTTTTTTGAAAATACAACCGTAATATTTCTAAATCAATCATTATTTAGATAAATGATGAATTTATACAGATACAAAATTTATTATTCAAAACCTTGGCCTCTTTAGAACCCATGCACCAATTTGATGATTTTTCGTGCTAAACTGAAAGATTGCAGAAGCGTAGAAGTGTAAAATGATTTTACATAGGCCTAATCAATCTTCCTACTGGAATACAGTAATTAAAAGTAGGCTTATATATAATAGGCCTACAACACTGTTGCAATTATTAAATTGTAACATAACATTGTCAAATGAACTATAAAGGAAATCGGTTGGCAATTACTTAACATCTTGATTACTTACAAAACATTACATTTCATTAGGTCGACTTAATGTAAATAAACTAACATTAATTCAAATATTCTTATATCATCAAAATCGAAGTCAAAAATAAAACTGTAGAAGCGTAGAAGTGTAAAATGATTTTACATAATCAATCCTCCTACTGAATACCGTAATTAAAAGTAGGCTTATATAATAGGCCTATCACACTGTTGTAATTAATAAATTATAACATAATATTGTCAAATGAACTACGGTACAAAGGAAATTGGTTGGGAATTTACTGTAACACCTTGATTACTTACAAAACATTACATTCCATTTAAACATACTTTAAACAAAACAACATTAATTAAAATATTCTCATTTCATTAAGGTAAGGTAAAACTTAATTTCATTGGTATTTAAAATAATTTAAAAGGTACAATAACAATTAAAATTCTATTAACAATCAAACAATTAAAACATTCGATTAAAGGCACACTAACAATAACGTATGTATAAAAACAATAACTAATAATAACAATAAAATGCATTCAAACATTATTAATTCAAATACACTATTGTACTTAAAGTTAAGCTAAAATCATATCTAGTTTTCGCTGTTGTTATCTTTGAAATAATCTTTAACAAAATGACGACTCAACATTAATATTGTAGTTCAGAATTTAAAGAGTTTTTCCAGATTTTTCAGTCTATCTGTAATGTAGACCTAAGGAAAAAATACAGGCCTACTTTAAAAGTATTCATTGGCTTTCCAGCCATGGTACATTCGTTGTCCTAGCCATACTGTAGATCTATCGTCGTGCAACAGTGTATACTTCTCATAAGTAACTACACAAAGAAAAAAATCATACAATTTTAGTAATGATACTGCATCGATATGATATAAGGCCCTAATTAACTAGTATTATAGGCCTAGTCGAGCTATGTTTCTATCTATATAATAGATGGTACAATTGTTAAATTTCAAATACATTATTTACAATAATTAAGTCATCAATTGGAAATAAATGGTCCGAATACAACATTTAAACCAATGCTTTATTACTTGTATTGTATATTTTAACGATGGTGTTGAAGATGATATTATGATAACAATTATTCGTCATCGTGTGGAAATAATCGTGTTGATGGTATTGATGGTGAATTGTAATTGTGATATCGATGCATCTGATAACCATGGTCATAGGGGCGATTGTATCGATTGCTACACATATTAATGAGCGTAATCTATCGGAATGATTGTAGTCGGCATAACACTACAATCGCAGTACATCAATCACAATTATTGATCTATATACTTTCGTAAATAGCTGAAACGTGAAAATCGAATTTAACGACACGAAGCACCAGTTGAACGATTGGTATGTCCTACCCCGTTAATTAATAGCTAAGGTGTCAAAATGCGTTCAGCATATTTGTTACTACAATGTAATTTGTTGAGACTAAACAATATTCACAAAGTACAATAGTTACGAACGAATCGATTGCCGATTTACAACTGTAAAATACGATTTATACAGCACAAACACAGTATTAATAGTAATGAAAATAAAAGAATAAGAGGAATTGTATTGCCAACGATTGAGTATTGACTTGTTGACCAAAACCTCAATCTCTTCCTCCGGACAATAACAATAATAATAATAATTTGCATTGGCATTAAATTTTAAGATATTATTTAGGCCTAATTTTGGAAATAGAAAATATTCAATTGATTCCAAAAGCATGTATGCTGGAAAGATTTTTTTTTTATAATTTCTTATTGATAGTTAATGATCTTAATTACAACACGCGGTTCCACTTAACATACTAGACAAAATAACACACAACATGCATACATTTACGAGGTTATTGACTTTGACCGAGTATTGCGGCAACATAAGCAATTAATGAGTTTATTACGCTAATTAATTTTTTAAATAATCATTATCCGCTGTTTCCGTATTAAAATATGCTATAGTTAAACTTCTTGTTAAAATTAATTATGTAGTCCGCTAAACATGTAAATTCACCATATGTTCCAGCATCAGTACTTTTACATCATGTCTATGATTGTATTGTGTTACATTTTAATGAAAAGAAATATTGTTTATCTATATAATTTTATGTCTCCTTTTACTTTAATCGTTTTGTTTTTTCTTTCAATTTGTCAACATAATCTATATTTTTAATGCGTTTTTAATATTTATGCTGTTATTTTATAGGCCTACTACCAATAACTCGTCCTTGTAATAAACGTCTAGTTCCGCTGGCTGTCGGCGGTTATAAATTACTACGAACGTTTACCGTTATGGAGGATGCTTAGTACATCATTGCTATGTTGAACCATGCTCGTGGGTTATCTTTAACATTTACTTTCTGTTTTTTTTTTATTAAAATCTATTCGAATCGAAACCCCAGCCCAAGAAACGATTGTGAGAAATTTTCACAACATATATTTCGATGACTTGTCCTAGAAAATCATCATACTCAAGAATAAAACCGTCATTATGAAAATAACTTTTGGAAGAAGGGCGAATCAACCTAATATTTGACATGAGTTGGTAGAGGAAGCTGACACTGGGGAAAAACAGTGACCCTTCCCACCTGTTTATGGATCTTTTGGGTGCGCGATAAAGACAAGCACCTCTAAATAATGTCTATATACAGGAAGAGTGTTTGACATTGGAATGTTAGTATTATTCCCTCTTTTTAGTGATGAGTGATTTGTAAAGTTCATAATACATTAAAATAAACAATAACTGTTATGAGAAAAACATGATGTATATAGCAGACGAGGCAAAATATGCTGGGTTTCACATTCCGTCATATTGAACTAGGTATCATTCATGTCTGTGCCAGTTGCCGATCCAGCTTTCAAAATATAGGAGACCGGGTGGGAATATTATAGATAGGCCTAAATGATCAAGACTACCTCATCCCACGGTTGGGGTTAAGGAACGAAATTCTATGTCTATATGGCACCTTTAGGTGAAAATTACACTCTCAAACTTAAATTTGAATGTCATTTTCTAACGTCTTCAATATTTATATTTCAATCTCGCCCTATCCTAATTTCACTGTTCCCTGATCAAACATATTAGACCTGTACAACAGTTTATCATAGAAGTATGTGGTAACGATTGTGTGAATTGCCATAAGCCTAAATTGTACATGCATACGTTTTTTCTTAATTATTGAATCTAGATAGTGTCATCATCGCCGCATCGACGAAACAGTTCCGATTCTACCGCTGTACTTAGGAGGAGGTACTTATGGTAGCTGAATTTTCCGTTGTGGATCCTGTGGGTATAGAAGAAGTTTATTGCTAGGTTTGTAGAATTGTTTTTCTCAAGATGTAATGGCCTGTTATTATTATTATTATTATTATTATTATTATTATTATTATTATTATTATTATTATTATTATTATTATTATTATTAAATATCTAAAATATACAGTATATTAATCAGTATTGTTTTGTATGACATTCCATTCCTGTGCCACTGAATTTTTCGACTACCGAATCCAAATGCGGATCCGCATCATCCGGCTGGATCTACGGAAATATCGAAAAACGGGAATTGGTCCTAAAATAGACCTAATACAATTTCTGCATCTATGAAACCAGATTTAATACCACGCTACTGTTGTGTTACTATCTAGGTGAATTTGTTCGTTTCATCTCTTTTGTTATAGTTAAAATAAGATAGCCTAAAGCAAGAGTAAAAATACACAAATGAGAAATTGATGTGAAGACACTGTATTATTGTTATTATTGTTATTATTATTATTATTATTATTATTATTATTATTATTATTATTATTATTATTATTATTTTAATTATTATTATTATTATTATTATTATTATTGTGTTTTTTTTAATTCATACTATAGGTATAGGCCTTAGCCTACTTTAAATCATTTCCAAATGAATATTAATTTTAGCTTATTCATTTAAATTCGTTCTCACCTGTCGTAGTTTGCTCAGTGATCGACAAAATCGTAAATTAATTCCATTTTTTTAAATAATTTCATTTTAGATTTTTCGTTTACGATAAATACCCTAGCAAAATTCCAAAAACAATTTTAAAGATGTTTTGTTTTATGTGATGGTCTAAATTAATTAAACTTTTATCATTCTCCTTGCTGAAGTTCTGGAATGTGTTAACACCTCATTTCCTTGTTATGAGTGTGTGAAATCGATGCCATTAAAACTGTTAAAAACTTGGCGCCTTTGTATGGTCTGTTAATATAGTTAAAGAGTATGATTTATCGGTTTTAGTATCAAATTAAGAAAACTGTCTCTCACGCGCACCATTTATTTCAGCAGCAATGGGTAACCGACATAAATCCAAAGAGGTAGGGAAGCTGAGACAAAACCAAAAGACGCGTTTCCCCCGTGACCCCTGTCATAAGGTCATGATCCATAACCCCAATGACCTCGATTGACATGTTCATTGAATTATGGACCTTTTAAAATGACTTGATGGTAATCGTAAACCCAATTAACAATTTTGACAAAGTATTTGTTAATGTGTTGTCTTTAATTTATTTCATTCCATTTTTCTATTATTTCTCCTTTTGATTAATTATAATAGGGGCCTACTTTGCCGAAAGGCCTACAGCGTTTTTCATATTATTTCTGTAGGCCTATATACAGGTCTATATAGGCATATATATTATATATATAATATATATATATATATATATATATATAAAACCCATTTTTTTAATTTTTGTCTGTTACACTTTTTATCTATTTTATCAATCCTTTTTATTGGCCACTTTCATCTGATGTGTCGTCTTTGCCTTTGTGCTGTTTTGTTGTTATTGTTTGTTCGTTTGACCAGGGGGTTTAGAGGATACCCAGATCTTGTGTTGGGCTCTCAGCCCATGGTGTCCTCTTGGCACCCCTCTGTCCATTTTCTGATTTGTTGTGCCGAATATGTAATAAATAAATATAATCGGATATAGATTTGTAACACAAAAAAATCGATGTCTGTATGTATAAGCCCTGTCTCTTATACACATCTAGATGTGTATAAGAGACAGCTATTATCCTATCAGTATACCACTATCAATATTTCCAATTTCTGTACTAAAATAGCATCCCCATTTTTCATCTTCTTGCCAAAATCTTTGCAATTTTTGTTCCAATGTATTTAACTTTTAAGCTCTTTATTAATATAATTTAATTAATGTTACTCTGTTAGGGAGAGGTGACGCTAAACAAGTATAAATATATTTCCCCCTACCTTGAATAAAAGTATAAAGTTAGGCCTATATAACGCTATGTGAGTCATAAAAAAGACAGGTTTATAATATGGAGAGGCCTGGTGTTTAATTGATAAGAGACTGAGGCGCAGGCTGATTGATTTCATACGACAAAGAAATGCGTAAACATATTTGCGTAATTAAGAAATTTCTTGTGAATAATTGTTACCTTTAATAAGGGGAATAAGCGGTACCGTACCTGCACTCTTTTTAACAGTACAATACAAAAGACATTTATTCATCGTCCAAATAAATTGCATCATATGTACAGTTAAAAATAGACAAACACGAAAAGGAACTCTCAAGAAACCCAATTGAGTTTGTAAAAGATGAGGCAACAAAATTGATCAAATTATACAAAAAAAGAGTTCAATGATTAAATGACATGAAAGTAATTTGGAGAAAATTAGAAAATAGACCCAACATTTAGAAGACCATAATAAATAATAATAATTGAAAAATACAAAATTGCTTATAAAAGTTTAAAAACAGACAAAACGATACACATCAGGAAAAAAATAATAATATTTACAACAAATTTATATATATACATACATATATATATATATGCTGTATATATATGAACCTATATAATATATATACATATATAATTATATACGGTATATGTACGGTATATATATATACAGCATAATTATGAGAAAAGCTAAATATAACTTTTAAAAATAACTTCATTACAAACAAAATACTATAAAAAACAATACAATTTTCAAACTCTGCTGAAGATATTTCCAAATAAGTTTGTTGTCCAATCAGAAGTTATAATCACTGAAAATTTTAGAATACTCTGTAATTTATTTTAGAATACTAAAACGGGTTGTCTGATTTACTTTTCCACCAT